TTACTTTGATTTTTTTAAAAAATGCCTTTTTGTATGTTATGTGTTTTTACTTTTAAGTGTTAGGTTTTTTTCTCTCATATTGTTGGAATGGATGGGGTTTGTGTCATTGTGTGCTCCATCTTTTTATACATCCTCCCCAATTGTGTTGTGTTCCCTTCTGTATCTCTCTGTTCTCATCCTGGAGCTAATCCCTTCCAGCCTTTTACTGGCTTTCTAACCTGGCACCACCATCAAAATTAGTTGCTGGTGAGTGTTATCTGAATGTGGTAACAGTGATGGTGGGAAGAATCTTGGGGAGGCAGAGTGAGAAAAATCAGGCAGTGTTAAAGGACCTGGTGGTAGGCAGACTAATGAATGGCCCCTCAAAGGTATGTACAACCTAATCCCTGGAACCCATGCATGTTATTTATATGTCAAAGAAGATTTATAGTTTATAATCAGCTGACTTTAAAATAGGGGGATTATACTGAATTATCTGGGTGATTCAAATGTAATCACAATGGTCTTTAAAGGCAGAAAGGGGAGATAGAGAAGTTCAGAGTCAGAGAGATATGAAGTCACATTTTCTAAAAAGTTTAGAGGTCAGAATGAGATGTGAGATGTGAGAAAGATTAAATCTACTGTTTTTACCTTTGAAGATGGAGGAAGAGTCAATAAGCCAAGGAAATATATATGTAAATTTTGTATGATTCAAATGGGACACAGTGGAAGGATTTATGTGCAAACCATAAAAACATAAGTAAACAGTGACTGATGAAATATATCATTTCTGTTGAGATTGTATTAATGGTTATTCTATATGAAATCTTGTCTTCCTCTCTGGAAGAAACACATAGAGGCAGGAATTGGATTGTCAAGAAGTGTTTGTAATCATTAACACAGGATTGGCCACATATCTAGGAAAGAGAATTCAAGGGAATAAGTAAAAAATAGTGCAAAGCTTAATACAACCATCTGATAGTTTGGTAAAATGATTAAGAACTGTGACTGCACTAGCAAGGCAATAGAGGCATGGCTTAGCAAAACTCGAGAAGGTTTTCTGGAAGCAACAAGTAGAATTTAGACATATTGAAAAAAGACAAGACTGCTTCTGTGGAAAAGGCAGTAGTACAAACTATGAGGTGTAGGAATGATGGAGAAATATGGGGAGCCCTCTATAAATACATTTAGGGGCGAATGTGAGACACATTTACATAGGTAGAACCACTCTGTATAGGGAAAATATTGACTGCAAAACAGGAAATAAAAATAATTGTTGGCATAATGGGTACAATTACATGCTTTCAAACAACATTGTGTCTTGATAATTTCATATTTTAAAGAGATCAATATGGCAGCGTGAGAAGGGTTTGCAATATATTGAAATAACTAACATTCTCTTTTAAAAAAAAACCTATATTTTTATTGATTTTAGAGAGGAAGGGAAAGAGAGAGAGAAACATTGATCGGCTGCCTCCTGCACACCCCCTGGTTGGGATGGAGCCTGCAACAGGGGCATGTACCCTGACCAGGAATTGAACTCACGACCTCTTGGCGCATGGGATGACACTCAAACAACTGAGCCTCATCAGCCAGGGCAGAACTAAAATTTTTATTTTGTGGTTCCAATTACTGATTAAGATGACTTGAGTAGATGAGGCAGTAGAGAGAAAAGGAAGCAGGCAGATCAAACAGGGATTTTGTAAAAGAATCGTAAGAGCTGGCAGGTAAGAGATAGGGACTGAAGGAGGAAGAAGGGTCACCAGCAACTCTCAGAACAGTATATTCCAGCAGTGAAAGAACAATGTGATGACATAGTGAGGAAGATGACCAGGAAGTTGGTGGGTGGAAGAGGTAAGGAGCCTTGGAGCACTATAGATGAGTTGAAATAAGGATATTTAGATAGAGATTGTCTTCCAGTTATTGAAGAGGTTGGAGTAAACTCTGGGCAACAGTAGACTGTCTCACCAGAGCCCTAGTGATACATTGGCATTCATACGTGCAGATTTGCTAATTCACACATGGCCCCTGTTATCTCTTTAAATGGATGGATATCTCAGTAAAATATTCTTGAGACCTGTGTCTGGTAGGATATTTAATACTTACATCCTTGAGAAATCTTAGACTGAGTTACTTGGTGAGAGAAAGACAATCTTGGAATTTTAATTGAAAAAAAAGGACCAATATGCTCCTAGGTCATAGATCTGTTGGGACATGGTTCCAATAGAGTAACGATATACAGTTATGGTAAGGTGATGTCTATACATGGGGAATAATTGAAGTTTCTTGGTAGCTTTTGGTAAATGATGTAGAGGTTGTGAGAAGAGGTAGATTGCACTTTTTTGCCAGTGTTTTTTAGGTGGTAGGAAGAGAGGGATCCTAGCAGTGGAAAAGACTTAAAAAGGAATTCACGAACACTCAGTCCCCAGAACTAAATGTCATATTTTGTCCTCAGGGAATGACAATCAACATGATGACCACATTGAATTTGATGACTTTTAATCCAGACTCCTTCATTTTGTTGGAGATCCCAGGGCTGGAGCAGTTTCACATCTGGATTGGAATTCCCTTCTGTACCATTTACCTTGTGGCCTTTGCAGGTAATGGCATACTTCTCTACCTCATCACTATGGACCGCAGCCTCCATGAACCCATGTTCTTCTTCCTCTCAGTGTTGGCCTTTACAGACCTCATATTATGCACCACATGTGTCCCCAAAATGCTTGGCATATTATGGTTGAAAACTCAGAAAATCACATGTCCTGGTTGCCTCACCCAGATGTTCTTTCTCCACTTCAGCTTTTTTTCTGGACTCAGCCATCTTATTGGGTATGGCATTTGATCCTGCATGGCCATTTGCTCCCCCTTGAGATATAGCAGTGTCTTGACAGCTATAACAATTGTTAAGATCATGGTGGGCATTGTTGGTAGGAGCTTTATAGTCATTTTACCTGTTGTTTTCCTGGTGAAGCATTTGCCCTTCTGCAGTACACATATCATCCCTCACACCTATTGTGAGCACATAGGGGTGGCCCAGCTCTCCTGTGCTAGTATCGCCGTCAATATCTGGTATGGCTTTGCTGTGCCTCTAATGACTATCATCTCAGACCTGGTCCTCATTGGTATTTTCTACACTCTCATTCTTCATGCTGTTTTCCACCTTCCATCCAGAGATGCCCGCCAGAAAGCCCTCAGCACCTGTGGGTCTCATGTCATTGTAATTCTCATATTCTACACACCGATCATGTTCTCTGCCCTTACACATCGCTTCGGCCACAATATCTCTCAAACCTTTCACATCACGTTTGCTAACCTCTATGTGGCAATGCCCCCTGCACTCAATCCCATCATTTATGATGTAAAAACAAAGCAGATCAGGGGCAAAGTTGTACTTCTACTCTTTCCTAAATGGATGCAGTGACCTGGGGATGAAGACATGGAAAATGAGATTGTGGAAAGTCAAGTAATTATGGTGATTTAATATAATTTATTTAAGTCAGACAGAGAAAAATAAATATCATACAATTTCACTTATATGTGGAATCTAAAAAACAAAATAAATAAACAAAACAGAAACAAACTGTAGATACAGAGAACAAACTGATGGTTGCCTGATGAGAGAGGAATTGGGGACTTGGTAAAAAAGATTAAAAGATTAAGAAGTAAAATTGTCATAATGATGCAAAGTACAGCATAAGGAATACAGTCAATAATATTGTAATAACTATGCATGATGTCAGATGGTTACTAGAATTATAGGGGAGATCACTTTGTAAATTATATAATTGTCTAACAACTATGTTATACACCTGAAAGTAATATAAAATAATATTGAATGTCTACTGTAATTGAAAAATAAAATTAAAAAATACACAATGACAAGACAGTAGAATTTCTTATGTAAATCATTAGCAGAAAGCCCTACAATAATGGATGCAACACTTATAAATTTCAAGACTTCATTTCTCTTGGACAAAATCATTGGTAGAATTAGAAGGATAGAGGAAAGGATTTTATAAGTCCCAAGAAAATGATAGGCATCAGATGGAAGTATCCTAACTTTCTACCATCAAAAACATAAGTGCACAATATTTTCGCTTTTCCTTTGGTCCTTTTATCCTGGTGGGAAAAGAAAGGAGGTGGGAGCTAGGAGGACTTTGCCATAGATAAAGGACAAGGTTTTTGCTTTGTTCTGTTTTTAACATTTGACCATAGGGAGGGTGAAAGCTCATACCAGGGAACATAATGACATTAATGACAGTGACACAACATATTTTTACAAAAATTTATAGTTTCTAAAGTGCTTTATCATCCACTTTCTTCTTGGATCTTCACTCAACAACCCTGTGAGATAGATGTTAAAAAGTTTAAAAAGAGGATTTCTCAACTGCAAATTAGGAGGGTTGTGTAGGACACGCAGCATCCAAGGCAGATTAATCTCCAAACACTTTACTTAATTATCTTATTCTTTTTTTCTTAATCTTCCCAAATCATGTACTTACAGCAGTAAATATTTCATTTGTGTGGATAGTACTATCTGGTATTATTAAGCATTCCCATTTGTATTACAGAATTGTTCAGGTATTTTGTGAATAAGATGAGCTAGAAGGGGGGTGGGGCCTGTATCTTTCCCCTATTTTATACAATGTTGGTGTTCACTCTCCCTAGTTTGTATTCATTATAACTGTTGGGGAGGACACATGGAGATCTAAAATTTAAACAGCAGATGAAGGAGAGTGTTTTATAAATTTTATTTTTGTTTGATAGAAATAGAGATGCTATGTTATTAAATACTGCAGAAACCTATGGGCATGCAAAAATAGCAGTTTGTGAATACACTGAATTTTAAGAACCTATTTACCTCTGAAATAAGGGACTCATACAATTTGGATCATCCCTAAAAAAAGAAAGACTAATTTCACAGCAAGTACTGCCTATCCAAAATGTCACCCCTCTCTTCTCTTTTCTAATAGGGCCTCTCCTTCTGGCTCATAAGAAACCACAGTGTGATCCAGTCAACCTCAGCGGCACTTCCCTTTTGAACAAAACGCAAGCGCCACTCGTTCACGAATCTGTTTGGTCTTTACTCCATAAATAACTGGGTTCATCATGGGGGGGACAAGAACATAAAGATTGGCCAGCAGGATGTGGACATGTTTGGGAATTTTTTGGCCAAAGCGCTGAGCAATGACAGTGAAAATTCCTGGAAGGTAGAACATGAGGATGACACAGACATGGGAACCACAGGTGCTGAGTGCTTTCATCCGAGCATCATGGGATGGCAGCTTGAAGACTGCCCGCAGAATGAGCCCGTAGGAGATGACTATTGTCACCATATCTAGCATAACACTGAGCAGTGGCACAGAGATTCCATACCAAATATTGATGGTGATATCAGCACAAGCCAGCTTTGCCAGCCCCATGTGTTCACAGAATGTATGGGCAATGATGTTTGTCCGGCAGAAAGGCAGGCGTTTCACGAGGAAGACAATGGGGAAAACAGTTAGAAAACTTCTCAGCACTACAGCGCCCCCTATTTTGCCAATGACACTATGGCTAAGAATGGTGGTATACCTCAGTGGGTAGCAGATAGCCACATAGCGGTCAAAAGCCATGGCCAAGAGAATGCCTGACTCTACTACAAAGGCAAAATGCATAAAGAAGAGCTGGGTTACACAACCACCAAAGGAGATGTCCACGTCATCAAACCAGAAGATGCTCAGAGCTTTGGGTACTGTGGATGTGGATAGAATCAGATCCCCAAAAGCCAGCAATGAGAGGAAGAGGTACATGGGTTCATGAAGACTACGCTCCACTGCCACCACACAGATCAGGGTACCATTTCCTGCCACGGCCACCAGGTACATCAGACAGAAGGGGATGGAGATCCACGTGTGTAGCTCCCTCAGTCCAGGGATGCCAGTGAGGACAAACATATCATAATTGACAGCGGAATAGTTGGGAGCTGACATGCTTGAATTATGACATGAAACTTTCATCACTTATCTGTAAAGAGAAAGAAAAGTAGAGAGCTAGCTTGTCACAAACAACTAGTGTATATTTATAAACTCTCAATGGGCTCAGATCTGCTATGGAAAATCTCAGTTAATGAGTTTCTAACTACTCAGAGGTTTTAATTATAAACCCAAATGTATGCAGTAGTCTGTTTTGCAGAGAAAGATTCCAAACATTCAAAGTAGGATCAAATAAGTTTTATTATTTATTTATTTATTTATTTATTTATTTTTAAATATATCTTTATTGATTTCAGAGAGAGGAAAGGAAAGGGAGAGAGAGAGATAGAAACATCAATGATGAGAGAGTCACTGATCAGCTGCTTCCTGCACTCCCCCGACGGGATGGAGCCCTCAACCTGGGCATGTGCCCTGACCGGGAATCGAACCCCTATCACCTGGATCCTAGGTTGATGCTCAATAGCTGAGCCATGCCTGGTTGGGCCAAATAATTTTTAAAAGATGCTTCCAAGGAAAATCCTGCAGCAAGCACTATTTTCTCACACAATTTACATAAACTTAAAATGATGGTCATATAAAATTTAAAAAATTGTAATAATCAATTTTATTCTCTGACTAAAGATTTTAAGACAAGAAAAAATAATAAATTTTTGTAAAGAATACACAAAAGGAATAGAAACACAAAGTTTTTCTTATCAAACTAAATGACAGTTTTGTTAGCGCACACATTTACCTAATCAACTATTTTTATTTGTTATCCTTTTACCCTTTTTTCATTAGGCATCTAACATATTCAAACAGCTGATGTATTGTGTTTGTTCAACTTAAATAACTACATAGATCATAAATAGAGATGTTTTATTATTTAAATGAAAAAGTGAACAGTAATAATTGAATTAATAATAAATAATACTAACTCCCAACATTTTACCATTTACAAGGTGCTTTCATCCAAATGTCATGTGAACCTCACAGCAACCTATTACCCATATTTCATGTCTGTGAAAACAGAGGCACAATGTGGCCTAAAGCAGGACCCAAAAGTGGATCTTGCTCTAATTCTAATAATTTTTCCATCTCATTTTTCATGGTTGCCTAATCAACTATTGGCCTATTGATTATCTAAGCATCAATTGATCACCTACCATGTGTACAGAGACATCCACATGTGCATAAAAGGGGAAAAAGAGTTCAAAGCTTATAAAATAAAAATCCTGCACATAGGGTTATAATCCATGTAAACAAATGTGTCAATATAGGTGTTTTCTGTTTCTCTGTTTAATAAATTATTATCCACTGATTACAGATATGTTTTCCGAAGTTTCATTCACATTATTGCCACAGTTACAGATGCTGCTGCTTGAGAATGAGTGGAACTACAGTTGTAGCACTTGGTGAGTACTTGTTCGGAAATTCAGGATGAGATTTTGTACTAGAGTTTACCCAGATTATTAAAAAATATTACATTTCTGCCCTGCTGGTGTGGCTCAGTGGTTGAGCATTGACCTATGATCTAGGAGATGGAGGTTGGATTCCTGATCAGGGCACATGCCCAGGTTGCAGGCTCAATCCCCAGTGGGGTGTGTGCAGGAGAAAGCAGATCAATGACTCTCTCATCATTGATGTTTCCCTCTCTCTCCCTCTCCCTTCCTCTCTCTGAAATCAATAAAGATATGATAAAAAAAATAAATAAAAGGTATTCTTGCTTTTTAAAAAAACCTGCATGTCTATCCCAGAGTTTTCTTTATTAATACATTCCAAACTTTCACTTTAAAAAAGCATGATTAGAAATAAGTAACTTGAGTAAGTAAAAAAATACAAACCATAAATAAAATGGCTACTGCTACCAACCACTTCTTATTTAAACTCTTCTTAAAATAGATTTCATATTTCTTTCTTTGCTGGTCTTTAATTCCTTTTTTATTGTTCACAGTATTACAGATGCCCCCCCACTTTCAACCTCCTTTCCCCTCTCCACCCA